ATGGTTCTGTGACTCAGCTTTGGCGATTCCGCTTCAGTGATTCAGCTCTTTTCCTGGGTGGTGGTGGCAATCGTGCCCGCTGATCTGCTGTCGGTTCTTTCCTCGTCCTTCGTCCGCCAGTGTTAGATAGCGCAGGGAAAAGAGACGTGACTCAGCTATAGTCCGAGCAGCACTTTATTTCAATAGGAAAACGAACTGCCGGGTGAGCCTCCTTTTATGTGGCTCCGGCAAGTCAGCTGGCCAATGACAGCTATTTAAAGTTCCTGCCAGTGAAATCAGCCAATCCCCGGCGGATGTCCTTATAAGATCATAACACTTACCAAGGAGGAAGGGAAGGAGTGCATATTTAAACCCTTCTTATTCAGTGTAAATATGAATGACTTACCAGGAATAATGAAGGATAAAAAAACCCAGATCATTAATAAATCTTATTTTATTTTTTGACAAAAATGATTAAATTAGTGGACCAATGAAATGCAGGGCACGTAGTATACAGTACTTGGATTTCAGAAAGGCTTTGACAGAGAAACCACAACCTATTTCTCAGGAAATTAAAAATATGTGGGATAGACGGCATCACCCCCCCAGATGGAGTCAGCCTGTGGTCCTCAATGGAACTACGTCTGCATGGAGGGAAACAAGCAGTGGGGGACCCCAAGGTTCCATTTTAGGCCCAGTTCTCTTCAACATCTTCATCAATGATTTGGATGAGAGGAGAAATGGAGAAATCATCAAATTTGAAGACAACACTAAAGTGGCAGGAATAGCCAACGTACCAGAAGATAGACTGATGATCCAGATGGATCTAGATAGACTTGAACCCTGGGCCTATCTAACAAACTGTAATTCATTGTAGAGAAAAGTAAGGTTTCATACTTAGGCTAGAAGAACCAAATGTACACTTACAGATGAGGTGAAACCTGGCTCCATAGCAGTAACTGTGAGAGGGATCTTGGAGTCCCAGTAGACAATCACCTAAATATGAGCCAGCAATCTGTGGCAGCAGCCCAAAAAGCTAATTCAGTCCTAGGTTGCATTAACAGAGGGATAAAATCAAGAATACATATGAAGTATTGGTACCGCTTTATAATGCCTTGGCAAGACCACACTTGGATTAGTGCATCCAGCTTTGGCCACCATATTATAAAAAAGATGTAGAGACTCTGGAAAGAGTGCAGAAAAGATGATTAAAGGCCTGGAGATTAAAACTTATGAGAAACAGTTGCAGGAATTGGGTATATCTAGTCTAGTGAAAAGGACTAAGGGTGACATCATAGCAATGTACCAATATTTGGGAGGCTGCCACAGAGAAGAGGAGGTCCACCTATTTTCCAAAGTACTAGAAGGCAAGACAAGAAACAATGGATGGAAACTAATCAAGGAGAGAAACAACCTAGAACTAAGGAGAAATTTCCTAATGGTGAGGAATGGAACGTCTCCCCTTCAGAAATTGTGGGTGGTCCATCACTGGAGGCTTCTAAGAAGAGACTGGACAGCCACTTGTCTGGAATAGTATAGATAGATACAGATTAAGAGAGTTGGAAGGGACCTTGTAGGTCATCTAGTCCAAGCAGACCCTAACACCGTTTCTGACAGATGACGGTCCAGTCTCTTCTTGAAAGCTTCCAGTGATGAAGCTCCCACAACTTCTGAAGGCAACTTTATCTCTTTATTTCCAGGTTGAATCTCTCCTTGTTCAGTTTCCATCCATTATTCATTGTCCGGCCTTTGGGTGCTTTGGAAAATAGCTTGACCCCCTTCCTCCTCTCTGTGGCAGCCCCTGAAATATTGGAAGACTGCTATCATGTCTCCCCTGGTCCTTCTCTTCACTAGATCAGCCATGCCCAGTTCCTGCAACCGTTCATTGTATGTTTTAGCCTCCAGTCCCCTAATCCTCTTGGTTGCTCTTCTCTGCCCTTTTTCTAGAGTCTCAACTTCTTCTTTATAGTGTGGTGACCAAAACTGGATGCAGGATTCTAGGTGTGGTCTTACTAAGGCTTTATAGGGTAGTATTAGTACCTCTCTTGATCTTGATCGTATCCCTCTGTTAATGAAATTTAGGATTGCATTGTCTTTTTTGGCTGCCGCTGCACACTCTTGACTCATATTTAATTGGTTGTCCATGAAGACTCCAGGATCCCTCTCACAGTTACTGCTATTATGCCTGGTTTTCTGCTTGAACAGGGGGTTGGACTGGAAGACCTCCAAGGTCCCTTCCAACCCTTTTATTTTGTTATAAGTTCTGTTCTAGGTACACATGTTTAGCCTGCTAAATTCCTATTGGAATACACTGATTTATACAGATAATGTGATTTTATCATACTTACACATTGGATTGTATAGACTTGGATTTTTTTTGTCTTAATAATTATCTGATAATTTATAAAGCAAGTTCAAAAGTTATGGTCTTTGTGAAATGACATCATAGCCATGGATGGTCAGACAATAGAGCAAGTAACACCTTTCCTTACCTGGGGTTGTTTTCTCTGAGCCTGAATCTTGGCTCCCTCATCATCCAAGGAGCTCCGTTAGAGAAAGGGCAGGAGTGAAAGTGGTGCTTAAATTAAAACCTCTTAGCTCTCCAGCTTCTTCAGCCCCAATTATTAAAGTATCTGAGGCCCAGTTTTCCCCCATGTTCTTACATCAATCTGATGTTTGGGGCTTCAAAGAGAAACCACCAGCAGAACCAACCCAATCTCAGCCTCTGAGGAGTATCTTGGGGTACTCAAGGACTCCAGCTGCTGCCCTCAGAGCTGATTTGGGAATTTACCCAATTTCTGTTTTGTCTAAATTCAGAAAATATGGGTATTATTGGCATGAAATTTAATCTATGGAAACTGACAGACTCTGAAAATTGTGGCTGTTGGAACAGACAAAACTTCAATTAGAGACCAAACTTGGATTAAGCAACTGACAAATCTTTGAGGTCTGCCTGTTTCTTGTATAACTGGAGAAAGAAGTTAAAAAATTTCCTCCAGAAAGAATCTGGGATATAGAAGCAAAAAAAGATGCAGCAATTAAAAGATGCACCTCCAAAATTATAATAGGCCCTTTATTGGAATAGAATACTCCAGTTGGCATTTGCACATGTTAATATAATTGTGATAAATTATACAATCTTGCTAATAGTCTGTCTTTAATATTTTAAACAATGTCTGATTAACAAACTATTCTAATACATTCATGAGAACCAGGTTGGATTTATTAAAATCTAATATTTTGGACTTGATCTGACCTCAGATATAACACAACTTTCTTCATTGTTTTTTAGATCAGTCATACAATTGTTTCAAAGGCTCTGAGTGATAAAAGGAAATTCCCCTTTTTCCACCGGATGAATCCCAAAGAAGGAATCCAGTACCCAGCAATTGTCCCACTGCTCCTCCATTTCAGATGGACCCTGATTGGCCTCTTTGCTTCAGACACAGAAAATGGAGAGAATTTCATGAGGATTTTTTCTCCTATGCTTGTCAGGAGTGGAATTTGTGTGGTTATATCACAACTGTTCTCAACAACTGGATATACAGCATCCCTCAGGGATTCCCTCTCTAAGTGGAGACAAGTCAACGTCTTTGTTCACTTCATACAATTTGACTCCATTTGGGAGAGAATCCTTCCTTTCCATTTAACGTTTATGCGTCTGCCAGGACCCATTGAAGGGAAAGTCTGGATCCTCACAAATTTTATAGGGTATAAAATAAACAAGCATAGAAAGCGCAGACTTCTCAAATACATCCATAGTATTTTGAACTTTAGTCATCTGGCAAAAGAAAGGCCAATTGATTCTGCCTTTGAACCCCATTTCTTTGTGGAAGAAAAGTTTCAAGATCCTTATTTCCGCTGTTCTCTTTCAAAGAACGTCTTTTCTCTCAAAGGCCGCAGAAGATGCACCCAGAAAGCCCCACTGGAGACCCAGGAGAAAAGGAACAGGATCCGGGCCCCAAATCACTATCTATGTTATAGTATCATTCAGACTCTGGCCCAGGCCTTGAATGCCGCTTATTCCTCCAGATCGAGGAGGAGAAGGAAGGAGGGAGAAAAGAGTTTGGGGTCTCCAAGGCTGCAGCCGTGGCAGGTATGGTGGTCCTGATATGGATCCATTAATCGGAGATCCTTTGGAGGAGGAATCCAGAGAAGAAGGAAGGGAACCAACTCAACAGATCTGTCCAATTCAATTACTCAGGGAATAATGGTTCCAAAGAGTAGATACCATGGCATTTTGATATTACAAACTGCTAATTTGAAAATGCTGTATTCTTTTTTAAATAAAATTCCTGTATTTGTGGGTTTGTGATGAGCATGGTGGAATTTCCCCTTTGTTCCGTCCCCACTGCAGGTGGGTCTGTGTGCAGCTCAAGAGGCAGCTAAACCCCCCTCTTCTCCTCCAGTGAAAGGGAGCCTGGGGTGGATCTGGGTCTTTCATTGGGAGAAAAGGGCACGGAGAAACTGAGGAGATGCAAAGAGTGAGAATCAAATATAAATAGGAGATAGGCAGCATTAACTAACAGCCAACAAAGAAGCAGCTGGAACCTCTCCAGAGATGCTCCGTGTGAGGGACGGAGGCCTCCGGATGACCATGTGTCTCGGTCAAACCGGCTGCTTCCGTCTCCTCCAAAGGCTGAGAGAAAAGGGAGTCTGGCTTCAGACCATACAGTTAGGCTTATCTGCCCCCGGCCACTAGGTGGGGCTAGAGCAACAACAGCACAATAGATACATGTTGTGGCATGACAACCTTTATAAATTTGGAGGAGACCCTGAGACCATCTAGCCCAACCCCTCCTCTCTGCAGGAATCCCAGTTAAAGCTTCTCTGACTGATGGCTGCTCAGTCTCTGCATATAATCCATGAAGAGGAGACTGAACTTCTCTGCTTCACTGGCTCAGCTCTAAAACAGCAAATTCTCCTCCAAGTGTGGTGCCTGCGAGGGGACGTGGTCCTTGAGTTGGGGTCTCCCCAAACCAGAATGGTCACTTCCTGATACTTCCTGAAATGATGGCTGCATTTGCCTTCTTTACATGAACATCTTCCTGCTGACTCAGATTCTGTTTCCAGTTACCGTATTTTTCAGAGTATAAAATGCACCTTTTCCCCACTAAAAGGGGGTGAAAATTTAGATGGGTCTTATACACCAAATATAGCCCTGCCCACCCACTGGCCCCCACCCTTTGCCCTCTGCCTCCTTGCAAGCAAACAGCAAGAAAAAACAGCTCTTTTCAGCTTCAGCACAGCCTAATTAGCACAAGTTGATTGGATCGGCCTCCCAATTCTCAGCTGATTTGCTCTCAGTTGTTTTGCGCAGGGCTCTGCTACGTTACTGCAAAGAGGTAAATTGCTGGGCAGATTTTTTTCTCCTTGTGCTAATCAAGCTATGCTGAAAACGAAAATGAAAATAAAGCAGGCTGTTTGCTGTTTGCTGCAATGAGGCAAAATTGCTCAGAGGCAGAGGGAGATTTCTTTGTCTTCTTTTCCTCACCAAAAAAGGTAGGTGCATCTTATACTCTGCTGCATCTCTCTTGAACCCTTGGCCTGAATGGCCACCCCCAGGGATCTGAAGGGGCTTCCCTGCTCTATTTCGTGGCCCTTTAGATACCATGAATCAAGTTTTGGCCTTTTTGATCTTTGTTTTCTCATCATTGATGCCCAGTTGATTGTAATTACAGTGCTGGAGAAGGGCTCGCAAGGCTCTTTTCAGGCCCTCTGGTGTCCTGGAGAGGATCACAGGGGCATCTGCATAGAGCAGGAGGGCGATGCTTTGGTCACCTATTTTTTTGGTGGGGGGGTTATTTGGTTTGTTCAGCCATTTTACCATGCCAGTTATGTAACAGTTGAAAAGCGGGGGGGGGGCAAAATGCCCCCGTTTAACCCCCTTTTGAGTTTTAACTGACTTCGAGAGGGACCCCTGCATATCACACCTCACCTTGAGGGATGTCTTAGTATGTGGGGCACGTAATAGATGAAGAAGCCTGTGGTCAATTGAGGCAGCTTCCAGCTTCTCCCATAGCTTAGTCCTGGGAACCGTATCAAAGGCTGCCTTGAGATCTATGAAGCAGGCGTAGAATGATGCAGGTCTATTTGATATGTATTTTTCCATCAGTTGATGAAGAACTAAGCACTGATCGGTAGTGCCTCTCCCCTCTCTAAACCCGGCTCCCTCTTCAGCGATCCAATTCTCCAGAGCCAGCCACTCTCCATCTGGAGGTGTTTTCCATCAGGATGACCAGGGAGAAGATTACCTGACAACTTTCTTCTTGATCAACCCATGCTTTCTGGGAATCAACCTCCTGTTTTCAAAGAGTTTGTGAATCATCTTTTTTTCCCTCTGTTCATTTTATTTGTCATCTGCTCTAGAATGTTCCCTATAATTGACCAATTGTGTCAATTATATTTTCTTTATGCTTTGTCAGTATATGATGGACAAATCTTTCTCAAAGCTTTTCATTCACTTATGAAGATTATGGCAGTATTTGTAACCTATTTAACCATATTTGGAGATTAGACAATAGTGGAAGAAAGATTCAATGTGGGATAAGAAATAAAGTTTTCTGTTTTTCAAATTCTTGGATGTTCCCATTCTAGTTTCATCCCTTTCTGGAGAAGAATGAATTTTGGAATATTTCTGATAGCAAACTGTACTTGGACCAAAATGGAGAGATAACAGCAGATCTGGGCATCAGAATCTTCTTGGTTCTCCCCAAGGGGGATGTCAAGGAAGAGTTTCTGGTGTATTCTCAAAGACAGAGACTTTTTATCAAAAAAGGTGCTCTTTCACGGCTAAAGTTGCTCAATAAGGTGAGAGAAATTTTGGTGTCTTTTCTCTGTTTTCCAAAGCCTGAGGTCCCATTTCAAGTGGGCAAAGCCTAGAGTCTCCAGGGTGGTTGGCCTCCCATGCCAGGTGGTGTCATCTCATGGAAGCTCTTCAAGAGACGGGACCTAAGTGGAGTGGCTTTGCCATGTTTTATGGAAACCTTTCAAGATCTTACTGGTCAGAGGTTTCTTTCTCCATCACAGTTTAATTTCATATTAAAAAACCTAATAGAATAAAATTTCCTAAATCTTTTACAGTAAACTTTGTTATCAGTTTTATTAAAAATATATCATCATACTTAGAAAGAATCAGTTCCATCTGTCTAGACTTTAGTAAATAGAAAATTATTTTATTGTAATGTTAAATTCCGAAAGCAAAAGGAACTAAATGAAGAATCTGCCAGTTGTTTTACCTCCTGCATCTGTTTAGGAGTAGTCAGAGGTTTCACATTTACCTCAGTGAAGATCAGAGGCTATTTGTCTCCATCCATTTTTCCCTCCATTTTCCATGGATGGAGATCCTAACATATTTTCTTTGGCATTCCTTGTTTTTCTGCTCAGTCCCTGCCTCAGTCCAAATGTGTGGAAAGTTGCCATCCTGGATTTGTCAAGAGGGCTCGAGAAGGAGAGCCAGTTTGCTGCTATGACTGCGTTCCTTGTCCGGAGGGGACCTTCTCCACTCAGGAAGGTGGGTCACACTGAGGAAAATGGGAGGCTTTATGGAATTCGACCCAAATTAAAAGACAGATTGAAGCTCACCTGGTTTTTTATTTTTAACCTGCACAATTTCTTATCTAAATGGAAGTAAATCAAAAAGACTTTGAAGGAGGAGCTGGGAAAGAGATGGGAGGAGGGGGTGGCAGAGTGGGCAAGCTTTACTAACAGCAGAGGAAATATCTCTTCTGCTTTTCATTTTGGATATGTGCTGCTAAATTCATCTTTCTAGGAACATTTGAGTTCTTTGAAAATTGATGAATTGTTATACGTCCACCTTCTGAAAGGCCTTCAGAAGTTCTGGGAGCTTCATTACTGGAAGCTTTCGAGAGGAGACTGGACTGCCATTTGTCAGAAATGGTGTAGGGTCTCTGCTTAGGCAGGGAGGAGTGGACTAGATGACCTATAAGGTCCCCTCCAACTCTGTTAATCTGTAATCTGTATATTGGATCCTCCCCTTGAGGATCACTGAGAAGGTGTCACTGGTCCATAATGTGGTGCTGTGGATAGTTATGGGGGGAACTCATTACACAAATATTCTGCCAGTCATGTAGATCAATCAATCAATCAATCAATCAATCAATCAGAAGCTGGAAGGAATCTTAGAGGTCTTTTAGTCCTACCCCCTGATCAAGCAGGAGACCTTATGCCATTTCAAAGGAGTGACTGTTCAATGAAATTGTTAAGAAATACTTCTTGGAAAATGCCTGGGGTATCAGCTGTTATCCAAAGAAGGTATTTTCTGTAAGAGAAAAGGACAGAATATTAAAGAAATTTTGCTTTTTTTGCTTTCTCAGATACCGAAAAATGCACCAAGTGCCCAGATGATAAATATCCAAATGAGGACAGAGTCCAATGTATCCCCAAAATTATAATCTTTCTGTCTTATGAAGAACTTCTGGGCATCATCCTGGTCTCTTTTGCCCTACTCTTGTTCTTAATCACAGGCCTTGTTTTAATCATCTTCATTAAATACCGAGAAACTCCCATTGTCAAAGCCAACAACAGGGACCTCTCCTACATCCTCCTGGTCTCCCTCCTGCTTTGCTTCTTGTCTCCTTCTCTCTTCATTGGTCAACCAAGGAAAGCCACCTGCCTTCTCCGACAAACAGTTTTCAGCATCATCTTTTCAGTTGCCGTTTCTTCTCTCTTGGCCAAAACCATCATGGTGGTACTGGCCTTCCTGGCCACAAAACCAGGAAACCGAGTGAAGAGATGGTTGGGGAAGAGCTTGGCCAACTCCATCATCCTTTCTTCTTTTGCTGTCCAAATTATCATCTGCTCCACCTGGCTGGGAGTTTCTCCCCCCTTCCCTGACTCTGACCTCCACTCCCAGCCTGCAGAGATCATCCTGCAATGCAACGAAGGGGCCGTTGTCATGTTCTACGTCACCCTCAGCTACATGGGCTTCCTGGCTGCCATCTGCTTCACGGTGGCTTTCCTGGCCAGGAACCTGCCTGGGGCCTTCAACGAAGCCAAGCTGATCACCTTCAGCATGCTGGTCTTCTGCAGTGTCTGGGTGACTTTTGTGCCCACCTACCTGAGCACCAAAGGGAAATACATGGTGGCTGTGCAGGTCTTCTCCATCCTGGCCTCCAGTGCTGGTCTGCTGGGCTGCATCTTCATCCCCAAGTGCTACATTATCCTTCTGAGGCCAGACCTCAACACAAAGGATCAGCTCACAGGCAGAACAAATGTAAAAATATGAGATATAACACCATTATGATAGTGGAATAATTATTAAAGTTTCTTTTATTTGAAAGGAGATATGAATTCTTTCCATTTTGATAGTATGCAGGAAAAGAAAATCATTTCTATATGTTTCAAATGAATGACTGGAATTCTTCTAGCTCTCTTCCCTTTCAGCAAAATAAAGAGAACTCTGTAAGAGTCATTCAGAGAAATTTTCTGTTCAGCAACAACTATTGAATGTGACACCTTATAAAAAATAATTTGGGCACTTGTTCCTACAGCTAAAAGTGTGCGTGAGAGAGAGTGAGCAGGAAAAGAGGTAAGGAGGAAGCTGCGGGAACAGCCTGATTGCCTGATCCTCTCCGTGAAAATGCCGGAATGATGTGAAATGCCATGTTTGACTGGCTCTCAGCTGGGGAGGGAAATCTTCATCCCTCTTATATAATTCTTTGTTGATTTCCTCATAAAAACCTCCTTTGCAGAAAGTGTTCAGCAGAAGAGCTTCTGGGATTTCAGTTTGGGATTGGTTTGGGGGTTTTTTTTGTATGTGCTTCACACCAAAATAATAAATAAATATTAAAGTGTTTTAAGAAATTGCCACTGTATTTTTTTTTCTTTCATCAACCGTAGAATTAAAATAGTAGATTTCAGGTCCTTTAATTTTCCACTCTATAATTTCTACCTAAAGCAATTTCTCTGCTCCTTTTCCAAGCTTGTCTTGTCTGTGAAGGGCTGGAGAAGATGCCCAGAGAAAGGGGAGCTGGAGACTCTCCCCAGGAGGAGGTTGAGGGGATCCTGTCTAAAGGCAGCCGCATCACTGACCAGGTCACAAACCTTCAATGCTGCATAATATTTATCCAGGTCCAAGAAGGGGGTGAATAGAGGGGGGGACTTCCTGGTTTCTAGGAAGAGGCACCCATGGAAGCTGTTCTGCTCTCCAACCACACAGATTGATGATGAATTGGGAATCAATGTTTAGCTTTCAGAATGGCTCCTAATTGTGAATTATTTGCAAATTCTATTTTAAGGAGATAAGACCAAGGTCAATCTAAGATTCACAGTGACCACACAAATCCCTCTGGTTCTCCCACAAGCAGAAGGCAGAGAGACTTATGGCATTGCCCAACATGGAAGTGGTGTTTTCCCCACAATTTCACTTTCCTCCATCAAACCACACAATATTGGACACTCAGCCATCTCACACTCTAGGAATCCCCAATTCTGGTCTCCCACATTAACCTGAGAAAATATTTCCAACTTTCACACCCGCAATCAAAAAGCACTAAGGCGGGACTGGAACTCAAGAGTCTCCTGGGGATTGGCCCAAAGTCCCCCAGGAAATTTTCATGCCTGTGGGAAGATTAGAACTCAGAGCCTCCTGGACCTTGGCCCAAACTCCCCCAACTGGCTTTCCTGCCTAAGGCAGAGCTAGAACTCACAATCTTCCAATGATTGTCTCAAAGTCTCCCATTTGGCTTTTATTCTAAAGCTGGTTTGAAAACTGTGGTGAGTGGGCTTCCGGTCTGGCTTCCGTCGCCGCCAAACGGTCCTTTGAGACCGCCAGCCCCGTCGCCCGTAAAGAGCCGCCTTTACACCTGAAAGGCGGCTCGAAAAACTCCGTTTCCATAAGGAAACTTGAGACAGAGCCGGCGAGGGCAGGTAGAGCCCTCTGCGAAGTCCCCAGAGTTCTTTTTTACCTCTGGGGAGGAAGCAGGATGTGGCTCCCTATTTTCCTTGCCGCTGCTCCGGGCTTCGGGCGAACTCTGCGCTTTGCAGAGCCAGGTGATGGGACCAGTTGAAGAGGAAGGGATCCAGCGGGACGGCCAGTCTGAGAGGTTTGGCCAAGGAAGGGAGGTGGAGGGGCCTCTGCAGATCTCCAGAGCCGGAAGGTCTGACGGGGAGGATCTGGGTCCACTTGAACTCCAACAAAAGGAGGATTTCATGCCCCCCCCGAATCTGAGCACCTGCCATCTTTTCTATCCTCTCCCAAGACAGAGGAAGCCCCTCCTTCTCCAGATGTTGCTGCCTAGTTGTGGGAGTGAAAAAGGGCTGAGTTGTCTCAATCACCCCTCCTCCCATCTGCAACTTCCCAATAAACCTGACCCCGAGATATGGTGGGGGAGGGGGGGAGGGAGGCAAGGTTCTGGAGTCCCTAGGACTTAGCCCAGCCGCTCTCCACAAAGGCAAAGGGGGAAATGGGGGAGGGTCTGGACTTAGGCACAGCTATTCTATTCTATTCTATTCTATTCTATTCTATTCTATTCTATTCTATTCTATTCTATTCTATTCTATTCTATTCTACTCTACTCTACTCTACTCTACTCTACTCTACTCTACTCTACTCTCCCCAGTGAAAAAAGAGATTTTAAGTTTTATTATTAATTCAAGAGAATTAAACAAAACCATAAAGGCACAGCCTAAAAAGCATCCATCTCAAGCAAGATGACCCCCAATCTCCTCTAAACTGCCAGGATCTGCTTAAGGACGACAACCAAGAGACCTGAAGGGCGGCCAATTTCCAGAGGACCCAGCACCAAGCTCCATCCAGAGGCTCCCAGGTCAAAGGCAACTTCGGGGCTTCCATCCCAGTCTGGACTCAGGACCTCCTGCCTGTTTCCAGGGCATCTCTACTGGGGCAGCCCAGCCTGGCTGCATGGGGACCCTGGTTATTGCCTGGGAAACTATGGAGAGGAGCTGATGCTTATTTCAACGATCTTGGGGTTCTCTCTTCTCCCTCACCCCAATTTCAAGTAGAAGTGAAAGACAAGCAGGTTAGTTCAGAAGGAACTCTAAACTTCTGGAATCTCCTCAGTGTGCAGAAGAAATCAAAATCTCTCATTCAGCCCCCTGAACTAAGGATGGTCTTGCGCAATTGTTACTTCAGGGGCCAATCTGGGTTCTGGGGGGAGGAAATTCCAAAGGGCCACAGAGGGTGTTGGGGTCTATTGGAGGGAATGGGGAGCTCTGCAGGGGCCACAGACGCCCCCACTTAAAGAATGCCCCCTCCCTCACCCCTGGACCTCTTTCCATCTGTTGGGCACTTTCAGGGAAAGAGATTTTCCAGCTCTGGACCAAAAAGATTTTGAAATCTGATCTTCCCTCCAATTCTTCTACAGGACAGCATCTCTCCTTCCCAGCTGCCCCAAACCTCCCACCTCAAAATCTCAAAATCTCAAAGGGAAATTGAGGGAAGCCGGTCGGTTCTATAAAAGAAAAGAAATGGGCTAGAACTAGAGGACCCAGGATAGAGAGGAGAGGGAGGGGAGATGGTGGGTTGAGAGGGAGCTGAGAGATCCACTTGATCCCTTTGACAGAGAGATCCAAAGATTATTTCCAGTGCCTGCAAGAAACTCCTGCAGTCTTCCCAGTTCAAAGACATAAAGGCAGTTAAGCCTCCCTTCCCTGTATTTTCTCTTCCCTCCTTCCTCCTCTCTCTCTCTTTCTCCCTCCCTCCCTCTCTTCCCCCCTCCCCAAGTCATTCAGCTCCTCTTTCCAAGGCCTTTCACTCCCAGTTTTTCCTTTTCCCTCCACAGACTTTTCCTGGGACTCTCCGGATGTCCCTTCCAGCTTCTGACTCTCCATCTTGAAAGACCCACAGTTCCTGGGGGGGTCTCTGAGGGGACACCCCCCCATCTCTCCACAGCTGGATGCAAGATTGTGACATCACACAAAAGGTCCTGAAACCTCTCCTGGGCTGATTGTGGACTGGGCTACATGGGGTCATCCATCAGGGCTCCCTCTGAGGGTCTGCCCAGCGTTTGAGGGGAAGCAACACAGCAGGAGCCCCCCCTCCCCCAACCTCATTGAAGGAGCTGAGGGAGATCCTGGGAAGGAAGCAGATCTGAAAAGGGGATCCAGCAGGTCACTGGTCACCGACTAGACATTTAAAATTAAATTCAACAACCACAGAGGTCCCAGTCCATCTTTCCTTGCCCACAATGACTTCTCCTCCACCTTTGGCCCTTTGCCTTTTTCAGCAGGAAGCCTCACTTCTGGAGAAAGCCCTGAGATGCCCTCACCCAGCCTGTGTTTCCTAAAAATGCTCCGGTAGCCCCAGAAGCCTTCGTGGAAAGAAGCTTTGGCAGAGACTGGCCCTCTGCTTTTAAGCACCCCAAGTCTGGGTTACATTTTGACTTTCCCTCTTTGCAACCACATCAGGTGGCAGAGACCTTGGGGGACGCCTGTCAAACTCTGGTTGCCCATCCCCATCTGAAAGGCAGAGGAATTGGAGGATGGAAGCAGGTAACACTAAGGAGACCTCAGCTGCTCCTTGACCTCTCTTCTGACCAAACTTTGGGGGGAAAGCTGGGAATAGCTACACATTTTATTCTTTGGATTTTAATTGACCGATTGCATTTTCCATTATTGTCACTATTCCTCGATTCCTTTAAATTATAATTTGCCCTCCCTGTTCAACAATTGTCCTAAAGGATCATTGAGATTATAAGAACTGGAAGACAAACACATGTACAATATTATGTCCTGTTCTGGAATATACGGTAGGTTCTCTCGAAACCTAAATTCTGATTTTCCAAACAAAATATTAATGCTATTACTTTGTCTTCTGGCTGACAACTGTCACTATTTGGTGAAGGCCTGCAATTTCCTTCAGAAAATGGGACTCCATGAAAAGTCTCCGAAAAGAGAAAACAATTCTTCATGGGCCACAATAAAGGCGATTAATGTCTTTAATCGATGCCAGTCAGTTTGTCTTGTTAAAACAGGGCATTTTCTCAGTGTTGCAGGGAGAACAATCTGGACTTCCTCCAATCACTCCTGTAAAACCTCTCTTTACCGATCCCAGGTGGTCGTACTTGTGGGTCAGCCAGGAGTTCTGCCCCTTGTGCATTGCAGGAATTGGGTGAAAGGGCCCCAATGTTAAGCTTGTCCTGGAAAGAGGAGCCCAGGGGGTCTCCGGGGTCCCCTCCTCCCACCAAGGACTCTTCCTGCCTGCTGCATTGGAGGATGGAGGCAGAAAGCAGGTCAGGCTGGGAGAAGTCCTCTCAATTCTGGAAACCTGCAGAGACCCGGCTGACTCCTTGCACACGGACTGCCCCCCCCCCCAAACCCCACGTCCTCAGGACGGTCTGGTAGACAGGAGAGAGGTGGGGTCCTCCCCCTCCCCCTCTGTTGAGAGGGGGCTGTTCCGTTTTAACGTAGATGGCCTCTTTGACCCTCTTTCCAACCAGGGGTCTCCTCTGTCCAGAGGGTGGACTTTGTTCTCTCCGAAGACAGCAACATGGTCCTTTCCCCAATTCCAAGGAGGTCCCCCCCCCATTTGCCCTCTGATTCAGGGGACCCTGAGGGTGCAGATAAACCCCAGGTGGCCTCAAGGCTTCTCAGAGAGCTCACGGCTGACCTTCACAATGCTAACCACCCAACGGCTGCAAGGAGGAGAAATCCTTCCATTCCCCACCATTCAGTCAGAACTGAAGAAGCTTCTTGGATGAGAAACGAAACGTTTTCAAGGGAAAAAACCCAAGAAATTCCAGCTCTCTTTTGAAAAGCACCTTTGGGATGTCGCTGAAGATGCCCCAAAGAGGGATGGTGCTTTGCGGATTCTCCGCCCCTCAACCCCAAATGTGAAGGA